GGGATGGATCATGAGGGTCAGATTGGATAGGGAAGGTAAAGAAGTCAGGAAGCAGGACCGATAAATTCCAAGAGTAAAAAAGTGATGACTTCAAGAAGGAGAAACGAGGCAAAACCTTAAAATGTCCATCTTGTTCCTTTATTACAATTCTGAGTGGAAGGCTTGTTATAGAAAACAGGGATACTAATCATTTAAATGAGGTTTGAGGATTATCTCTGGATTTCTAAGATAATTGGATTGAATATGCAATGAAATTCAATCCTGCTTAACTTATAGGAACTATCTCATTTTAAAGTCTAAAGTGAGAATGGACGAAAACTTCTATTCATAGAATACATTCAGCAGAAATATTAATGTGGATCAATAGTTGTAGAACTAGAAAAGTGAGGCCAGAACCAATAAAGAACCTTGGTATTGGCAAATAAGAGTTTTAGCAATTATTAAAAATAAAATCCTGGGCCATGACCCTAAATTTATTGAGAATAATGCTCAACGTGGTCAGCAACTTAAATCACGCAGCATTTGGAAGATTAAAGAAGCTGATAAAAAATGCAAGAAAATTAACATCTTTCAAGTAAACTTTACAAATCAGTTTGGTCCACTAATTTGGTAATTTGCCCTTGGTTTTAGTAATTTACCTTTCCCATTTTCTTTCTGTAAATGGATAATTAATTGCTTCTCTTCTTTTTCACTATTAAAAATATTTTCATATATATATTTAAAGCCAAGATAAATGCAAAAAGCAAAGTTAGAAATCAGGTTTAGAAACAATCAAGGAGGAGAGAGGGAAAAAGGGAGGTAGGGAAGGAGGAAGGGAAGGGAAGGAAAGGAAGGGAAGAAGAGAAGAAAGAAAGAAAGGGAGCGAGAGGAGAAAAGGAAAAGAAACTACTAAAGAGGTTTTTGCTTGTTTGTTTGTTCTTTTATCCAGTTTTAACGTGTATTGTCACTTCAGCACGACTGCATTTGCTACTTCAAATAATATCCAGAAAAATATACCAAGGCTTTAAAAACTACAAACTAATACAAGTACCAATTTTAAAAATGGTTAAATTCCACTGTATCAGTTGCCTATTCCCACATTAATACTGTGTAACAAACAACCACAAATCCTCAATGACATACAAAAACGAGTGTTTAGTCTTAACCTGCCTGTGGGTTAGCTCCATAGTTCTGTGATCAAGTGGCTGTGAGTTGAGCAGGTGGCTCTGATTTAGTCAGAACTTCATTGCATCAGCTTAGCTGGGGAAATCATGCTTCTATTGTTCTGGAACTAGAAGGCTAGCTAGGAATGTCCTTCACATGGCAATGTCAGAAGGCTAATTGCAAAATCACTTTTCAGACCTCTGCTTGAGTCACATTTCTAAGATTTCATTAGTCAAAGCAAGTCATTTGAGCCTAGGAGTGGTGCCTACACTCCTGCTTGCAGTGGAAGAAGGCTGATCACAGCCACCGGTGCAATCTAGCATGTCCATTTTTAAGAATTTACTCAAGAAAATATTTTAACAAGATGAAAAGCATAACTATACACAGGGATATTCATCAATATAATGATTACAATATGGAAAAATTGGAAACCTAAATAACCATGAATAGGGGCCTCTTTAAGTGCATCATGATATAAGAAAATGAAAAATTTGGCAGCTATTAAAATTGTTGTAGACCCTTTTTTAATGTAAAGATGTCCACCACATATTGTAGGGTAAAAAAAGAAAAGTCTTACAGAATAGAATTAATGTTATGAACCCATTCATGTAAAATGCATACATACAAGTATTTCTACATATATTGACACATAAGAAATATCTGAACCATGTGATCCACAATTTTCTCTGAACTGTAGATTTTCAGATGCTAGTTTCTTTCTCTGTGTTATTTAATTTTTTGTAACATACAAGTATTATTTTTATAGACGGAATAAAGTACTCAAAAAGAATAAGCAAACAACCCACCATTAAGATTAAATGTAGAAAAAATAGGCTTTTTCTCTTAATTTAATTCCTAATTTATTGTCAAAATTTAGATAGGGAGTCCTAGTTTTTATCTATAAAATAGAGAGTAAGTATTTATTTCAGAACAAATTTTATTTTTTATTAAACTGGGTGAAAAACACAGAACTTTTTGTAATGCTATGCTTTATTTCTTTTGTATGTCTCAATTATTTCACAATAAATATTTTTAAATTGTTTTAAAGCACATCTGTTTCACTACTTAATATGTTTATATTACAAATGCAATGTTTATTATTCTGAGGACTTTAATGCCCAGTTAGGAAAATGTTCAAATTTGAGACTATTTTTAATAATTTGCTAGAAGTCTTTAAAAAACAAGCACTCATTTAATAAAAGATTTATTAAACTTCTGCTATATACAATGTACTATATCAAGGACTGTGGGAGTTTTGTTTTATTTTGTTTATTATTGTATGTGACAAAGAGTCTACTCTCAAAGAGCCAAAAACTTTGTATTTTGAAGAATAATTAAGTGTGAAATGATATAAAGAACGTTTTCCTCTAAAAATATCAGTCAAAGCTAGATTTCATAGAGAAGATTGATTCCATCTATGAGACTCTCATGTTAGACTTCAATGATTTGAAATGACCACATAGGTGTTCTGGACCCATCCTTCAAGTGGCTTGAAAACTTGCTCCAAAAACTGTGGGCAGTCCAACTGCCAACTTTGATTGTGCCCCAACTGCAAGCATCCTGGTTATGGGATACCAAAAGGAACATGTATTAAAGAAAAAGAACAACAACGATAATCATATATTAACCAGCAAGCCTAGCACAGTGATCCAAAATTGCCTAGTGTTTCAAGGTGACTTTTTCTCAAGACTACTTAAAGTTCTCAAGGATGGTTTATTGTCCAAAAAGTCTAATATGCTGATCTTGGCTTAGTATGACTGCACACAAGGTTAGCCACCACATTTTCAACTCATTGTCTTCTACTTCCTACCAAATATGAGGATTCCAGCTATCTGTATGTTTATGTACAGTGCAGGAGCTTTGTATCATTACCAAGCAACATATTGCCCCCAGACTTCCTAGTAAAATACTGAATAGGTAATACCTTCATCTTAGTTCTTAAATACCAAACACAAGCTAGAGGTGATATTTGTTTCTTTACTCTAAACTTCAGTAGTTCATTTTTTAGTACAATCACACTTATATGTCAATTTACATTTAAAGAGACATTTTCATTCAGGTCCCACCTTTCTTCACTGATTATATGTTCTTTGAAAGCAAGAACAGCATCTATTAATACTGATAGCCCCAAAACGCCTGTTACAATGTCTGGTGAAGGGCAGGCTTTCAATAAATAGCTTCTAAACTAAATGAATAAATTCTAATTCTATTTCTGTTTCTGAGCAATAAAAATAAGTCTGATGAAATAAAATTAAAAGAGCTGAACAGTGAGTGCAGAGATATAGTAGACACTGTTTACTATCAACTCCACATTCACTTCCCAATACTGTTGTCTTTTACAGCAAGATCTGCCTCCAACGATAGACATTAAAAACGTCAGACATTTACTTTCACAGCCTTTCCTGCAACTAGGAGTAAAAATGTAAGCAATTCTGGCTGATGAGCTATATGGGAAAAATCTTTGAAGAATGGTTTCTCAGAAAGATGTTTCTCCTGATTAAAGGAGAGGGGAGAAAGAAGGAATGTGAGAGAGAAAGACAGATGGAGAAGGGGGAAAGAGAGGTACAAGCAGAGAGGAAGAAAGAAGGAGGGGAGAGAGAGACAGAAATGGGAGAGAAAGAAAAAGAGGGAGGAAGTGAGAGAGAGAAAAAGAGGAAGGGAGGCACAAAGAAAGAAAGAGAGAAGTTTCCTCCTCCCTTCTTGCTTTTGATTCTGTAATATGAAGATGTGATGTATGGAGCTGCTGCAACCATCTTGCAGCCTTGAAGGAAAGATCAAAAAAATTAGAGACACAAATGTAGCTTCTTGAACTAACCAGGAACAACTTGCCTCCAGTCTTTTTCTTGCCTGCCCCCCGACCCCACCCTTTTTTTTTTTTTTTTTTCAGACAAGAGTCTTGCTGTGTCACCCAGGCTGGAATGCAGTGGCATGATCATGACTCACTGCAGCCTTGACCTCCTGGGCTCAAGAAATCTTCCCGCCTCAGCCTCCTGAGTAGCTGGGACTATAGGCATGCACCATCACACCCAGCTAATTTTTAAATTTTTTTGTAGGGTTGAGGTCTCACTATGCTGTTCAAGTGGGTCCTGAACTCCTGAGCTCAAGCGATCCTCCTGCCTCAGCCTCCTAAAATGCTGGGATTATAGGCATAAGCCACCGTGCTCAGCCCAGTCTTCTTTTTATGTGAAATTCTTTATTGTTTAGTCACCATTCACCAAATATCTTGTCAAGTGTAGCTGTATCTCTGATTCTTCATTCTGTATCAAGTCCTTCCTCATAGCATTGGTGTAATGAATGGGAAAAACATCGAGGACAGTAAATGGCTATGAAAATTAATTTATCTACAAATTGAAGTGAAAGATAGTCTCACATTTTTTCAACAATTGTTGATGGATTATTTCCTCAAATCCCAAAATCAACAGGTAAAGAAAAGCATACCATAAAAGCAAAACCATAAATGAAAAGCAAAATCTCCTGTTGAATAATTATTAAATTTTACATATCTCTAGATTATCTTCCTTTCAAAGTGAACTCCCAGAACCTCATTTGACCAACTCCAAGAATTAAGTTTTCTGGTGCTTACAGCATGATTTTGAATAATAGAGATTTTATTCTCCTTAAAGATGGCCAGGAGACATTTTTCTGGAATAGTTATAGCAAATATGTACTAATTACAGGATAACTGCGAAGAGTCTTTTTCTATGACAGATTGTACACTAACCTGTCATAGCTAACTTACTGTGGGTAATGGCTTAGTCACCTACAGTAGCAATATAATTACTCAGCATTTACAGCTATGCCTTTACCAAGTGAAGTCATGTAAATACTATAGAATAGACTGTAAGTACAGCAAATGATTCAGGAAAGGTATAAGTGGTTTATTTTCCGGTTGTCTAGTCTACGATTCAGGATGATTTGTCCCTCTCAGATGCACATATTTGTGTGACTGATCCCAAACTACTTGAACTCAGACATCCAAACCAAATGAGAAGGAGAGAGAGAAAGAGAGAGAGAGAGAAAGAGAGCTCAATCTTCCCCTGAACTAAGAGGCTCAGGCTTGAAGACTTCATGCTGGTTAGAGTAGCCTGCAGTAACCACTATTTTCATCTGCTCAGTATACACATTTTCCTCTGTTCTTTTTGGTAACAAACTTTCCACTAGCCACAGGGTTGGCAGATGACCCAAACTGAGTCAGTCAAGTGCCACATACTACTGACCCCAGTAGTATTCAGGAATGTGCATGTGACCTAAGCAGGACCAGTCAGAATCCTGCTTTTGGCTTACTATATGAATGTTAGGAGAAATCCATTTTCAATCAAAGTGAATCAGCTCAGCATACAGGGGAAAAAAAAAAAGCTAGTTTCATTGTTTGGGTCAGGTTTTTAGCTTTTGCATAACTGGCAGGTTGCCAATTCAGATGACTTCTGACAAATATGCACCAGTTAATGCAAGGATGCTCCTTGGATTGCTGTTCCAAATTGCTTCAACTGCTCCTCCAAAAGGTAGCAAACAAAAAGTAGATGGTGAATTCAGCTACAATCTGAATTGAGAGAGAAAGAAAAGATTTGGATTAGCTATGCCATTGAAACAATGATTAACATAACAAAGAGAAGTAAAGAGTAATTGAGAGTAAAAATTAATTGACCCAAAGAAGAGAAGAATGTGAAACAGAAATATTGAAATATCATATAAGCCTTATATGTAATTTTAAATTCTCCAGTAGCCACATTTCAGAAAGCAAAATAAGTGAAAAAAAATTTACAATGTATTTTATTTAATCTAAATGTACCCCAAATCTTACCATTTCAACATGTAATCATTATTTTTAAATTATTAGTGAGATACTTAACTTACTTGTATTAGTACTAAGTCTTGAAAGCCTACATGTATTTCATACTAACTTATAGCTCTTCTGCATTCAGACTACCCACATTTCCAGTGCTCAAATTATCTGTATCCACATGTGACTAGCTAGTGGCTGCCATATTGAATGATAATAATCTGGAAAATAAAACACCTTGGTTTGTGATTTTTGATGGCAGGTCCCTAATATCTTTTTGGGCTAGGAACCAGAGTGATTTCCTACATCCAAAACCCCACTTCTGGTACAATAAGTGGAGTAAAAATTCCATCCTGGGGATTTAAATGGCAAGTTCCATTATTACAAGTGAATATGGGTACACCCAAGACTGTGTGCCAAGAATCTCAGACACTTCTTGTGGACTATATGCCTACCCTATGAAAACACAAATATGAATTCCTACTCAGCACTTACACTCAGTTTATTGAGCTCTCTCAGAGAAATTAACATAACCGTGAGCACTGGTACCATCACAAATTCGAGGCTTTAAACCTCAAGTGGAAACTCAGTGCGAGTCAGAAATCCTTTCCCTGATCAATTCCCTTTCCTGTTTTCAATAGCTACTTACATCTTCACCGTGTTCCTTAAAGCCACTACCTTTGTATACAATCTTTTTTAAAAAATCATTTTTCCATGAGCAACCCTAATCTTTCTTCACAGAGAAATGGAAACCTCAAATAAGAATTCCATTTTGCTAAAATTCTGTTTCCTAATTCAACCTTCAAACTTAGATAATCTCGACCCATCCTTTTTGCCTATTGTCTGAGTCTCATTCCAGTCACCTCCCATTTTCTTCAAAATTGCTTCATTAACTGCTTCACCCCTTGCATACTCACCTTTTCTTTTCTTCTCTGCTTTCTCTTTCTCTTCAGCATATAAACACGCTCAAATTTCTCTTGCTTGAAAGTTATCCACATCCACTTATTGCTACTGCTTGCTTTCTCTGCATTTTTCATTGAAGCAATCTATCCTCCTTACTCCATTAAAACTGCCCTAAAATAATCAGATACTTCCTTCTGAAAAATCCAGAAGAGCCCGTTCCATCTTTAACTTTCTGTTTCTCAGCAGTATCTGACAGAGTTGGGCACATCCTCTGTCTTGAAAATCTTCCCACAATTGACTCTATGACACCAATATCTCTCTTGACTTCTTCCATCTCTGCCACTTTTTAGCATTCTCTTTGCAGCTTTTTTCCTTTTGCCTATTATTTAAATGGCATTGTTACTCAAGTTTCAATCATCTACCTCCTTGGTTTTCCAAGTGTGGACTGTAAATAAGCAAAAGTAGCTTCACCATCTGGGAGCATGATGCAAATTCAGAATCCTAGGCCTCACTCCGGAACTTCTGGATCAAAATCTGCAATTTAACAAGATACCCAGGTGATCTATCTGCACAGTCAGGTTTGAAAAGTGCTACTTTACTCTTGACTCATCTCATTCTAGACTTTCTCCCTGAGTAATCTCATCCTCTGTGACTTTCATAACTACCCATATATTAATGACTTCCACATTTGTATCTCCAGCTCAGTTCTCCCTCATGAACTCTGCTACATATATAGAATTTTTCACTGAACATCTCCGCCCATTTGCATGACAGGAATATCAAGCTTTGTATGACTCCACAGACATACCTGGCCACATGTGTTCTAGTAAGAGAGTAATCATAAGGGATCCCGAGTGTTTGGATAAGGAGATCATGAGAGAAGGGTAATTATAAAAGATCTTATGTTGGCTTTGGAACTTGATCTGAACCCTAATGGATAGATTGGAATAGAGGAAGGGATTTAGATAAATGGAAGATGACAGAAAGCATAAAGCACATTTTATCTTTAGAACTGATAAGGAACCCTTTCTATCTAGGCAGTAGTCTTCTGCCAGGGAAACTAAAGAAAAGGAAGCTACTCAGGGTTTCTTTAGCTGGCGTGAGAAGTCACCTAAATATCTTGGTCTCTGTCCCCTACTAATTTCTTTTCACTTCTTGAACAGACATTTATTGGCTTCTACTACTATATCAGGTACTGTTCTAGGTGCTCGAGATAAAGCAATAAATAAAATAGACAAAAATTGCCGCACTGACATTCTTGCTAGCAATATTAATTTTCTTCCCTTAATGGGTCATTTGAAAGTGAATTGTCATGCAGGGTGAGTCCCTTTGTGATCAACTCCCTGTTAAGCTCCAGGGTTCAGAAAGAATTACAAATCGTCACATGAAATAGTGGAAGGCAAAGGCTTTGTATTGCGGAAACTTACAAGCAAGGTTCAGTAGGGAAAGAAAGCCTGGATCCCTCATGTTCTCTTTGCCCCCACAAAGAAGCTTGCTGGAAACTGATACCCTTGTCACCCAAAAATGACTGATATGACTGCAAAATGTGCTTACATATGCTGGACCATGATATCACAAAGAGGAATAATATCTCTGCCCCTTGGCAGGGACGTGAGGCAAAGTGTGAATGGAATAGTGCAAATCTACCACCAGAACTGAGAAACTTTTTCAAAGTAGATGAATAGCTTCATCAGTGTATATAAAAACAGTATGAAACATTCTGTTATATCCTTATTTTATACGGATTTGACTTGTCATACATTCCCCGTTGCTTTGATAGACTAACTAAAACCAGTACCAGAGTTCAACTACAATAATGCATCATAAAACTAGAAAACATAAAACTAGTGACACACACCCACAAATGTGAAAGTAATCTATTTGAGTTCAGTTATGAGCAGACAAAAATACTGATAACAGAACACTAAACCACAGAAAATTTACAGGTGAATTACAGAGTAACTGAAATATGGGTCATACTCCTGACACTTCCATTAAATAATGTTTTCCTCAAACCCCAAAGGTCTTGCTCTTAAATATGTTTGATAATTGTAAAACGTTTGAACACCACACTCATCTCTTTACATTTCTGTTTTTATACTGCATTTTAGTGCTGACAAAATAGAGGAGAAAAAAGTAAAGCTTTGATATCAGGCTGCTTACTGTTTTATTTGATTTCAGCCCCATTATCACACATTTCCAGAAATACACAATAATGCCAAATCACTTTCTCCATTTTGGGTTGGTTTCTCGATATATTAGCTGTCAGTGTAAAATTATTGTGCCTCCTACACGGCAACTAAAATCCCAAACAATGGTTACTGACAAATTTCTCTATAGTTCACTGATTCCTCAAAGAAAATGAATTTTCTACCCAGCTAAGATTAATTACCATTGTTACAGAAATTGGAATGCATCTGACAGCTTGCACAGAAAACACTGTGCTTTGCTTTCCTTTCTATTGTGTCAGTAATCACATGCTCCAAAATCAATTAGAATCACATAATCTTCCTAAAGAAATGCCTACCCACTATAAATGCTTAACTGCAGAAAAGTCAGGAGATGTGAAAAGTGGAGATGCAGGTTTGGGGAGGCGTGTAGGAGGCATCTTTTCATTACCTCTAGTCTGCCCCAAGAGTATGCAAGATCTGGGAAGATGATACTATGGTTCTAGGCAGCCCAAAGTGGGAAGTTCCAGGCTGTTTTTGAAGGGAGAGAGTTCCCTGCCCCCAACCCCTCACAGGACATGTGACAGGGATGTGACTGTCTGTTCGGCTACCACAAGCTCAAACCCCTTACAGAAGGGAGAGCATGCAGATGGGCAGGTGCAAGAAGCAGGGCAAGTGCTTTGGGGCTCTGGCCCCACAGCAGCCTATAGGGGTAGGTGTCTGCTACTCCCAAAGCCCAAGTGGGCACGTGTTACAGTGCACCCTTTTAGCCTTACTGTCTCCGGATGGCCCAAGGGTTAACCAACTCATTGGACCCTCTGCCTTTTTGTAAAGGGAAGGGTCCAGTATGACAGTTTTCTGTATCATGAGCTCTTGTGCAGCATCCCAGAAGAATCAGGTCACACATAGACTTGAAGGATAAATATGGAGATTTTATTGAGTGGTGGAGGTGGCTCTCAGCAGGATCGATGGGAAACTGGACAGGGGATGAAGTGGGAAGAATATCTTCCCCTGGAGTTTGGCCATCCAGTGGCCTATTCTCTGACCATCCCCAGCCAAATTCCTCCCAACATTCCTTCTTTTCTCTCCTTCTCTGCCTCACCATTCTGCCATTCATCTATTCATCCCCTCATCTCCTTGTCTGCTCCTGGAGCCTGGAGTTAAGGGTTTTATATGGGTACACGATGGGGGCATGGCAGGCCAAAAGGCAACTTTGGGGGCATGAAAACAGGAATGCCTGTTCTCACTTAGAGCCACAGTTATCCAGGCTTGAGGGTGGGGCCTTTGCCAGGGAACCACCCTCTTCTACCCAGTATTTCCCTGTCTCCTCTCCATATCATTTTTGTTAGTATATCTGGCTAACAAACAACCTAAACTTTAGTGGTTTAAAACAACACGCCAGGTGGTTGGTGCACACCTATAATCCTAGTTACTCCGATGGCTGAGACAGGAGAATCTCTTGAGCCCAGGAGTTTAAGTCTGCCATGACCTATGATTGTGCCACTGTACTCCTGCCTGGGTGGCAGAGGAAGACCCCATTTCTCTTAAAAACAAAACGAATTGCTTTCCACAGTGGCTGAACTAATTTACATTCCCACCAACAGTGCATAAGCATTACTTTTTCTCTGCAGCCTCACCAGCATCTGTTGTTTTTGACTTTTTAGTAATAGCCATTCTGACTGATGTGAGTATCTCAGTGTGGTTTTGACTTGCATTTCTCTGATGATTAGTGATGACGAGAATTTTTTCATGTTTTTGGCTGCTTGCATGTCTTCTTTTGAGAAGTGTCTGTTCATGTCCCTTTGCCCATTCTTTAAAAGGGTTAATTTTTGCTTGTTGATTTGTTTAAGTTCTTTACAGATTCTGGATATTAGACCTTAGCCAGATGCATAGATTGTGAATGTTTTCTCCCATATTGTAGGTTGTCTGTTTACTCTGTTGATAGTTTCTTTTGCTGTGCAGAAGCTTTTTAGTTTAATTAGGTTCCACTTGTCAATTTTTGTTTTTGTTGCAGTTGCTTTCGGGACGTAGCCAAAATTTTTTTGCCAAAGCTGATGTCAAGAAAGGTATTTCCTAGGTTTTCTTCCAGTATTTTTATAGTTTGAGTTTTACATTTACATCTTTAATCTATTTTGAATTAATTTTTATATTTGGTAAAAGGTAAGGGTCCAGTTTCATTCTTCTGCCTATGGCTAGCCAGTTATCCCAGCACCTTTTATTGACTATGAAGTCCTTTTCCCATTGCTTGTTTTTGTCAGCCTTGTCAAAGATCAGATAGTTGTGGGTGTGTTGCTTTATTTCTGAGTTTTGTATTCTGTTCCATTGGCTTTTGCACCTATTTTTCCACCAGTACCATGCTGTTTTGGTTACTGTGGCCTTATAGTATAGTTTGAAGTTGAATTGCGTGATGCTTCTGGCTTTGTTCTTTTTGCTTAGGATTGGTTTGGCTTTTCAGGTTCTTTTTGATTCCATACAAATTTTAGAAATCTTTTTTTTTTTTCCTAATTCTGTGAAGAATGACATTGGTAGTTTGACAAGAATAGCATTGAATCTATAAACTGCTTTGGGCAATATGGCCAACAATCCCATTACTAGGTATATACCCAAAGGAGAATAAATCATTCTACCAAAAAGGTTTGTGCATTTGGCTGGGTGCAGTGGCTCAAGTGCCTGTAATCCCAGAACTTTGGGAGGCCAAAGCAGGCAGATCACTTGAGGCCAGGAGGCTGAGACCAGCCTGGCCAACCTGGTGAAACCCCATCTCTAGTAAAAATGCCAAAAATTGGGCAAGGCTAGATGGCTTATGCCTGTAACCCCAAAACTTTGGGAGGCTGAGGCAGGCAGATCACTTGAGGTCAGGAGTTTGAGACCAGCCTGCCAACATAGTGAAACCTCATCTTTACCAAAAATATAAAAATTAGCTGGGCAGTGGTGATGCAGCACCTGTAATCCCAGCTACTCAGGAGGCTGAGGTAGAAGAATTACTTGAGTCTGGGAGGCTGAGGTTGCAGTGAGCCAAGATCACATTACTGCACTCAGCATGGGTGACAGAGTGAGGCCCTGTCTCAAAAAAAAAAAAAAAAAAAGGCCAAAAATCAGCTGGGCGTGGTGGGCCTCATGCTACTTGGGAGATTGAAGAAAGAGAATCGCTTGAACCCTTGAACCCAGGAGGTGGAGGTTGCAGTGAGCCAAGATTGCACCATTGCACTCCAGCCTGGGCGACAGAGCAAGACCTTGGGGAAAAGAAAAAGAGACGTACACTCATATGTTCACTGCAGTGCTATTTACAATGGTAAAGACATGGAATCAACCTAGGTGCCCATCAGTGGTGGATTGGATGAAGGAAATATGGTACATACACACAATGGAATCCTACATCGCCATAAAAAAAAGAATGAAATCAAGTCTTCTGTAGCAACATGGATGCAGTTGGAGGCTACAATCCTAAGTGAATTAACACAGGAACAGAAAATCAAATCCCACATGTTCTCACTTTCAAGTGGGAGCTAAACATTGAACACGCATGGACAGAAACACAGGAACAAGAGAACTATGAACTACTACAGGGAGGAGGAAAAGAGGGGGGCATGAGTAAGAAAAGCTACCTATTCGGTACTGTACTCACTACCTCGATGAAAAGATCAGTACCCCACACTTCAGCATCACACAATTTACCCATGTCACAAACCTGCATGTGTAACCCTGTATCTAAAATAAAAGTTGAAATTTAAAGGAAAAAAAAAATTCCTGTGGTTCAAGTGACAAAAAATGAAAACAAAAAACCCACATGTATTATGTCTCATATATCTATAGGTCAGTCAGGCAGGTTGTCAATCTGAGCACACTCCTGTAAGCAGTTAGCTGGTAGGTTGGCTATGGACTGGGTGATCAGTAATGGCTCCAGCAAGGACAGCTAGGAGGTCTCAGCTCTGCTCCATATAGTCTTCTCACCTTTCAGCCAACTAGATCAGGCTGATTTGCATGGTAGTAGCAAAGAGAGAACAAAAGCACACAAGTCCCCTTGATGACTAGGCACAGAATTGACATACCATCACATCCACTGCATACTATTAGCCAAAGCAAGTCAGTCACCAGACAGTGCAGACTCAAGAGGTAGGGAAATGGACTCTACCTCTTGACAAGGGGATCTTTAAAGTCACATTGCAGATTGTTTAAATATAGAGGTAAAAAAAAAAAAAAAGTATTTCAGTTATAAATCTACTACGCATGAGAAATTTCTGGGTAGCCTCTCTAGGTATCACATTTCAACATGGCACTTCCTTGGGGATCATGGTCTTGCTGGGACTATATCTTACTGTGACCCTGTTTTGCACATGCTGTTACACTGTAAAGGGAAAGTCAGAGAAAGGATGAGGCAAGAGGAAAAGAGGAAGATGTTGCCTGTGTCTGTGGAATTGTATTGTCTTTCAGCACCCACCAAAAATACATCCAAAACCTTTTCTATGGCCTTACGGTTGGTGGAATAAGCTTGCCTCTCAACTTTGAGAGGGGCCATGTGCCTTGCTTTGGCCAATGGGATGTGTGATCAAAAAAGGCGTAAAATGTGCTTAAGCATAAAACTTATATTACTGCACTTAGTAGAAAAACAGACCCCATGTAGATACTATCTTTTCAGCGTGGAGCAGAATTAGCCCTGCCAACTTATAGGTGCAAGGGCCAGAAACAAATACGGTTGTATGCAACTGAAATTGTGAGGTTGTTACACAGCAAAAGTTGATGGATAAACTGAATTAGAAGAGTAGAAGGAGGCAAGGAGGAAAATGGGGATTCTAAAGAAATCTAGCAGAGACAGGATGAAATCACCATCTTCATTACAAGTTCGTTGAATATGCAAATTTTCTGGTGAGAAGTCATGCAGAGAGCCTTTTTTTCCTCACTGAGCATTACAAGCACTGATCCAAGAGTATCTTTTCATGTGTGTGTGTGTTTAAATATGTTTCTTGTTTAATAGTAGGTGCTGGTTGTAGCCACCCATTAGGAGAGAACTTTGCACTATTTTTGTTAGCATAACAGGATATATTGTTGTTTGCTTAAGAACTGTCCCATATTCCCCCATCTGTGAAATGGAGATTAACATGCTAATACACCTCAAAGGGTCTTGTTTTATGGTTTGCAGGGTTTTTTTTCCCCAAAGAGTAATGGAAAAAGTAATTGAAAACATTTTTTAAAAATATAAAGGGATATAAACACTAAATAATAATTACTTGTGAGAACTGAAATGAGAATTGCTTTGCCAAGAATCTTGAGTTGATTGTAGTCCCAATATTTGTGAGGAACAGCTAATAAGAATCTTCATTAAAATTTCTAATTTTCTACTGACTGCCTCCTTATCAGGTGAAAATTATTAGCAAATCCATATCAACCGTCATGGAATGGAATGATTTTCAGGGCAACCAGCTTAATTTTCTTCTGGGATGCAGTTGACCAAGGTTGTTTGAAGTCACACAAGCATTGCAGAAAGAGGTGCTGCTTTCAGTTAGAGAGGAAAATAATCTTTCCCCTGGCAGATAAAGTTCCACAGGAATACTCTTGAATCATGGTTGGAAGGCTAACTGATGTGATATTGGTATTACTACCATTCCAACATACTTATTATTGATTACTTATACACACTGGTAATAATAATAATAACAATAATAATAGCTGCTACTTATTAAACAACCATTGTCAGGCCATATATATATTCATATATATATATTCATATTACAATACCTATTTTGTGCAGTTCTTTGTATATAAAAGATGCCAATAAATGCTTAATGAATGAATGAATACTTACAAGGTAAGAATTGTTAACTCTTTCTTACAGATAAGAAAAATGGTATTCAGGGAACTTAAATAATTTGGGTACTAAATGACAGAGTCAGAAATTAAAGAAACTTTTTTTAACCCAAAGCCTTGTCTCTTTCTGTCCCACTCTTTCTCCTGTACACACCCAAAAACTAGAATGTAAACTAATGGAGTTCTCATGCTTTAGATATTTCTGGTCTAAATTACAGTAAAGTTACCTATAATAACTTGAGTTCTGCTGGGTCCAGCTGTCCCATGCCAGGAAATGTAGAGGGACATGAACCAGATCAAGATGACTTTCTCTATACCCTTCTCTTATCCCTTTGAGGCTGTGCCCTCTGAAAATCAGTTTGAAGTAAAGTATCCTGGTGCTTACAAGCAAAGTCCACCCAGCTGGTCTCTCAACTTCACCCCTTTCCTATTTCTTCTAACTGGCCTACTGGCCTTCAAAAGTACTGACCTTCCCTTGTTCCTCTTGTCCTACCAAGATGTTCCTGTTACCCAGCTCTGGGAAAATCAATGGGTAAACTGGGGTTTCCAGGCTCCCTTTATCTTCCTAATTTTCCTCTTATAGATATGGCTGCCTAGAACACTCCCCCATCCCTCTTAGTTCATCGTCTTCTTTTCTGATGTTCG